AATCATAAAAAAAAAATATATCGTTAATTAATAATCTCATATATATTTGTAATATACTTCTATAAAAAAAATAAATAATTTTAAATAATAACGTTACAATTACAATACTATCAATATTTTGCATATTTATCGAAACCAATTACAACCTGTTGAGAATGATCAATATAAAAAGTTGACAAATAAGGATTCATCAAATTTCAATGTAATAAATTAATGCATTTGATGGAACAATATTCCAAAACAAAATTAATTCGAATTAAAAATTGATGAAATTAACGTAAACAATACTACTGCATGTAATTCAGTCAACCTTATAGAAAAAATGAGAATTTTTGGTGCACGATCAGAATTAAATTGAAATCCGTTGCATTCTTACGATAGGATACGATAAAGAAATCCTATCGTGAAGCATCCATGGTGGAAGAAATGGCGAAAGGCCATTATAGTACGTGACATCAAAGTCAAGCTCGTTGATTAGAGAGTACTATAGCTGCGTGCCAGGCCAATTAACAATGTTTTGATCGCAAGTCGTTTGCCTTGATGTCGATTGATCTCTTCGTCAATCTTTCTCCTCCTCCTCCCCCTCCTTCCCCCCGCCCCATCATCCTTCTCTTCTATCCCATCAAACGAATCATTAAAAACGATTGGAACGTTAGAAAAATGACACAATCGTAAGCCGCATTTTGCTTAGAAAAATTTTTTATGTATCTGTTTTTCATCTTAACTRTACAATTGTCCTTTTGCATAGTTCACGAATTCGAGACGAGTTTTATTAATTATTGTTATGGTGTGAGCAAAAATTTGTACGTTTTATTGCATTGAAATTTTACTTCCAAATTGCATAATAACTAATTGTTTTTATTTTTCTTTTGAAAATAATAATTGAAAAAAATGCTCGAATTTTTGTTTCAATTCTTTAACATTTATTGTATCAATTAAACGTTAGAAAAATGACACAATCGTAAGCCGCATTTTGCTTAGAAAAATTTTTGATATATCTGTTTTTCATCTTAACTATACAATTGTCCTTTTGCATAGTTCACGAATTC